ATTGACCAATTTGACTTTAACAAGTGAACACTTCAAGTAGATCTGAAACCGACCCAGCCCATTTGTCCAAGTATGTATGCACAGATCACACGAGCAATTAAGTCCGCGACACTTGCAAAACTTTGAACCCCCTGAGTTAAAGAGTCAACATCGGAGCTGCTTGATCGAGGGACGCGTGTAAAATACCGCGACACAGTAAACAAAGGCAGTGTTCGCGTTATTAATAATAACCAGGCGATTTGGGTAGACCGCCTTCGGCGTTTGAGTTGGCTTCGCCTCGCGACGGCCTGCGTCGTTGCAAAAACATTCTTCGTCGATTTACTTTCGGGAATTCGCGCGTAAACGTTGACGTATTTAAGGGAGGCTGTAAACCATCTATTTCGGTGTCTCGCCGGGAATAATCGCGCCGTCACGGATTATCGGCTAGTCGTGTGCTCGCTGTCCAGGCTAGACCAGAGACCCGGACCTGGTAACTACGTAAAAGACGAGTCAACTCGTCATCGAGGCTGCTGATAACCTTCGCGTACCAATGCCCAGACTGCTCCCTGACATGTCCTCGCATTCAGACTATCCACCCCGGTTTAAAAATTACAAAATTAAAATCCAAATTACCGAAGTCACAGAACTGATGTCATAGCGTCTTCTCTGAGTAAAGTATTCTTAATTTTCTCACTTAGAGAAGCTCCTAACTCTGTACCATCTCGTGTTCTCGATCCCTTCAGCTAGAAACCCATAAGTGTCTCCTTAACTATCATCCGACTGGGCTCCAAAGACGAATCACAAACGATAAATCAAGAAGATGAATATGGAATTCAGGAATCCGGTATTACCGTCCATCCGTCTCTAAATCATCGTGCACAGGTATTAAAACAAAAGCAGGATCGTTGGAATAAGCAGGCACACGCGAATTTTAATATTTAGCGAGGAAAGACGCGCGAGGCTCGGGCACGATGAAAATTTAATCTAATCGCGATATTCGTCCTCGCGTTACAGGGCTGCCGGTGGTATCGGGATTGCTATCGCTGCTAGGCGGAGGCCTGGTCGTCGAGCGGATTTGCTGGTTGAACGACGGTACGACAAGGAGTTATGATATCGGCGGCGATCGCAGCGCCAAGTGAAAACACGGTGGCGTGAGTAATATACAACCATAGGACGATCTTTTATAGTGCAGCCAGTCCGCGAGGGAATGATCCGCGGCCACGTCCGCAGAGATAGGATCGTCCTAACCCCCGCGCGAATCAGAGGAAGAGAGGGTCAAGGAGGAGCGAACCCGGAGCAGTCAGCGGTTCTAGTCGTAAATAAAACCGCGTCTGCTACCAATGCCAATCCCCCGGACCTGAGTCCGGTAACCGTTGCTAGAGATGGGATGAAGTGTATATTGCAAGCAGGTTTCAGACCGACTAGATGGGTTCCAAAGGTTCCCGAGTACTTTGAAAAAGGGAATGCCTTTAACTAGAGCTTAAGAACTTTGTACGGGTACTTTAATTTCCTTTCTTCTTGATCAAAATTATCTACTGCATATAGCACTATGTATGTTATTCAATGATAGGGACATAATTCCCCCTGATATCATCACTGTACAACCATGACTGATAGTTGAGCCATTCACAGGTCACAGTTATTTTACACCAGCTTTTGAATTTATGATTCGGATTTTTATTTCTACAATCTTGTAGAATGTATAACTTAACCCATTTGCATCCAAGCGCGGAATATTCCGCGAGCCACGACTGTCGCCTATCACCGAGCGCGGAATAATCCGCGGGCTGACTTTCTCCATTACCAGTTGCTGAATATTCCTCGTATGCCACAGATCACGTTTGATCCCTTTTGTGAGCATCTCGTCTACATCGGTTCATTATATTCTTAACAAGTTTTACTTCTGTTGTGAAAACCCTTTCAACTGCCATTATGAGTAGGTGCTGATACGCGCGTGGTGATACGGGCTAGTCGTCAGTTAAACGTCGCTGATGCCTGAACACAACCATGATGCAAATGGGTTAAAATCAACCCAAATTCAAGTACACAGAAACATTAATCTAACTCTTATAAGTAGCACTCAAATCCGCTCAACTGAATCTCTTTACAGGAAGTGGAATTTCTCATCATTGCTAAACTGTTCGAGCAAAAAATAATTCGTATCACAGGTAAAAATGTTTTGTAAAAAATGTACAATGAATATTTACAAGTTACTTTTGCTTTTGGTTTAAAATTGTATGGAAATTAATTACCCAGCAGAGGTATTGATTGATCACTATGCAGAAAATATACGAGTTCGATAGACAAGGTCTATTATAATCTCGTTACACCTATCCATAAACATCCCAATTAAAAGCTTCGACGCAAATTAGACAAGTTGGTGAATCTTATCGCACGGCAATCCGCTTCTTATGCCTCAATTACGCGATTCATTAGCCATGATCGCTCCCAAACACGATTTCCTAACAGCTTCGAATAATACACATCGCAGCAGGCAAATCCCGTCTGGTAACAAATCTACGTCCCAACCTTAATCCACCGTGGCCACTGTTAATCCACCGTCTCCTCTGCCAATTATCCAGTCCGTCCCTAGCCTTCCCCGCCCCTTCGTCGTCGGCGTCGAATTGTCCTAAAAATGGCGTCGAACGGTACCCTCGATTCCGTTCGATTGCAGTCTCCCCGCGGAGAGGAAAACTCGGTGTGCTCGGAAAAATCGAGAACGACGAGTCTGATTGCCACGGCGCGATTCCTCCCCGAGCAGAAATCATCGGTCGATCGTGCGAAACTCGTTACCCCGGAGCCGTTAGCCGCGCGAATAAAGAAGCAAAGTATCGAGGCCTGGGCGTCCTGACGAGCGCGAATCGCGGAACGACGACGTCGCCGCTTCTGATTTCCACGTAATCACGCCACCGCCGGGAAACGACCGACGCGCCACACGGGCACCGCGGCAATTTCATTCGCGTTACGCACGCTCCGGCCGACCGGTTCGGGGTACTAACCGATCCCCACGCGAAACTTCTAAGTCACTTGAGAAACGAGCCCCACCGATTTGACGTGCCTGGGTTTTTTCCCGCGATGGCCGCGGGTTTTGGTGATTGGGAGCAGGATTGATGGGACGAGCGATCGAATGTTGGGTTTGGTCTTGTTTCGTGTTTAAAGGCGCCTTGTGGGGTGTCGCGGTGAAAAGTGGCCTTTTAAATCGTTTCTGCTGTGTAAGTTCGCTAATAAGCTCTTTTCTATTAGACCAAGCTGTGTAACTATATTAACTATATTTTTATTTTGGATTATAATAACTGTATTGTTATATTGTTATATTATAGTAACTGTATTGTAGCTATGTGGTATAGTTCTAACTCAATAACCATATTTTTGTTGGATTATATATACTGACTATATTGGCTTTCAATTGATCAAAGTTTCTGTAATGAATAATTATTGGATTTGCAATAAAAATAAAAAATCCAATTGCAATCATGAAATAATAAAATTACTTAGCATAGAAAAGATAATAAATATATTATAGTTGTGTAGGCAACAGTAGATATCTATTATTTATATACATATTATATATTTTATTAGTGATAACAGAAAGGCACGTCTCCAATTGAAGTTTAAAAGAATAATAAAAAAAATAGAGAAATTTGTAATGAAAATTATTATTATTCCTTGCCTTGTGATTGTCAAGATTTTGTTAAAAGATACCTAGAACTAGATAATCCGAAAAGATAATGAAATTTACATTATGCAAGCTCATCCGAGTAATTAAAAAGTAAAGAGGTAAAAGAATAATTTTAAAGAGATCTATTTTCTGTAAACAGTACTGTGAACAATAGGAACACTGGATGGTAGAAGAAAAATTACAGCAAAGTTATATACCAGGTAATATAAATTATATATACATATTTACAATTTTACTAAAATATCTTTCACTCGTTTTACCATTCAATTTTTATCACTCACCAATCCTAAAAATTATTATAATCTACCTACAGTCCAACAAGAAAATTACTAATACTTTCTCCCCATAAATAACAATAATACCAAACTATGGAATGAACTGTAATAAAACTATTTTATATATGGAATTTCTGTTACCAACGCTCTACATTTATGAAACACCATATAAATTTTAAAATGCTTCCCACTACATTATTACCTACGCTATACAAATTCTACACTGACTTACCGAATGAACATCACCTCGTCAGTACGCCACAATCAGAGCCTCTTTTCCCTAGAAAGCAAAAATTTCGTGCCCACGACCCATCGAAGGACTACAGCATCTCGACCGGAAGTGGAAGCTAAAAATTCACAGAAACCAGAAACACTGCCGACCAGAAGCAGCTGCCGCCTAACCTATACGTGCATCCACGTATAGGCGAACGAGTTACGCGGCGCGAGTTCTCTCTGCACGAGAGGAGAGCAATCAGGCCGGCAATCTAGCATTATTCCCCGGCGCGTTATTGCGTTATTGGCGTGGAAGTCGAGGTCTGGAACCAAAGAGGAAGAAGACCGATGGGCAGCAGCGGTTGCGTATACCGCGATTAGGCGGGTTGCCGCGATTTGAATGATTAGATAGGCTCGAGACGATTCGGAGATGGCTGCGTTCCCGCCGGCAAAATAACAGCCTCCGGGCGGACGCGTTCGTGACCGGTAGGCACGCATCTCGCGCCGCGGGTCGATAGTTCGCACGAACACGCCGACGAATTCGCTTGCTCGTCTCGACCTACCTAACTACACGTGTCCGCTCTCCAACGACCTAGCCGATCGCTCTCCACCTTATCATCGTCCTCTGTTCGCCTCTCTCGTTTCCGTCGTCCAATCGTCGACAGGTGTGTCGAGGCCGGATTAACGATACAATGGCCGCCCCGGTTGATCCGAGAATCGAGCAGGCTTTTAAAGCGAGCTAACCACACCGCGCGTAGCAATTTCGCCGATACGACTTTGAAATGGAACGGCTGCTCCCTGATTGCTTTTAATCGGCCACGGGAACGAGCAATTTTAGCAAGCAATAGACTCACCTTAACGGGTCGTTTGCAACAATAGCAGATCACCGACGTGTCACGCGTTCCACTGTATCACGATTCCTCGTTTAGTTGTAGGTTAGATTGGCGATTCGACGAGAAATCGACAACGAATGGTGTTTATCGAATATTCCGAGGTATTATTAATATGTAGACGCGTCGCGAACTGTATTATACGCGTTACACTGTATTACGATTCCACGTCCCGTGTCCGGTTATGGGTTACAATGGCGTTCCGAAGAGAAACAACGACGAATGGCGTTTATCGAGTATTTTGGAGCATCGACGAATACGTAGACGCGTCCCGAACCATATCACACGCGATTTATATTACCAATCCGCGTCCCTTGTCCGATTATGGGTTACATTCGCGTTGCGAAGCGAATTCGACGACGAATTGTGTCTATCGAATATTCTGGAATGCCATCGATACGTAAACGCGTCGCGAACTGCTCATACACGTTTCACTGTACCACGATTCCGCGTCCCTTGTCCAATTACAGGTTACAATGGCGTTCCGAAAAGAAACGACGACGAATGGCGTTCATCGAGTATTTTGGAGCATCGACGAATACGTAGACGCGTCCCGAACCATATCACACGCGATTTATATTACCGATCCGCGTCCCTTGTCCGATTATGGGTTACATTCGCGTTGCGAAGCGAATTCGACGACGAATTGTGTCTATCGAATATTCTGGAATGCCATCGATACGTTGACGCGTCGCGTACTGATCATACGCGTTTCACTCTATCACGATTCCGCGTTCCTTGTCCGGTTATACGTGAAATTGTCGTTGCGAAGAGAAATCGACGACGAATGGCATTTATCAAGTATTCTCCGGTATCATCGATACGTAGACACGTTGCGAACCGTATCACACGCAATTTATATCACTATTCGTCGTCCCTTGGCCGATTATAGATTACATTCGCGTTGCAAAGGGAAAAGACGACGAATGGTGTCTGTGGAATATTCTAGAATGTCATCGATACGTTGACGCGTCGCGAACTGCTCCCACGCATTTCACTGTGTTACGATTCCGCGTTCCGTGTCCGATTATATGTCGTAATGGCGTTGCAACGAGAAACGACGTCGAATGTCGTTTATCGAGAATTCGAAATATCGTCGATACGTAGATGAGTCGCGAACTGTATCACACGCGATTTATATCACGATTCCGTGTCTCTTGTCCGGATATACGTTAAATTGGCGATGCGAAAAGAAATCGACGACGTATGGTATCTATCGAATATTCTAGAGTGTCACCAATACGTTGACGTGTCGCGACTGCTTACACGCATTTCACTGTGTTAGGATTCCGCGTTCCGTGTCCGATTATATGTTATAGTGGCGTTGCAACGAGAAACGACGACGAATGTCGTTCATCGAGAATTAGAAATATCGTCGATACGTAGACGTGTCGCGAACTGTATCACACACGATTTATATCACGATTCCGCGTCCCTCGTTCGATTATACGTTACAATAGCGTTGCGAGGAGAAACGACGACGAATAGTGTACATCAAATATTCTCGTGTGCCACCGATACGTAGACGTGTCGCGAACGAATCACACGCGTTCACTGTATTACGATGCGGCGTCCCTTGTCCGGTTACAGGTTAGATTGTCGTTGCGAGGAGAAGCGACGACGAATGACATTTATCAAATATTTCGGAGTATCGTCGATACATAAACGCTTCGCGAACTGTATGATTTACGAAAATAATCGCGAGTCGAATAAGTTTATGGTCTTTATACCGTACCGTGTTAATTAATGATATATCCGGGAAAAATACGATGTAACCGTATAACCGCTCGAACTGAACATTGACACGAACTGTTGATCCACGGTCACAGCGATACCTACTTAAACGACGGTAAGAATAATACCGACTAATGAGTATCGATAAATTTTAGAAACGAGAGCCAATTACCTTTTATTAATATCTTTATTGGAAATATTTTTTTTTTACACTCGTTATAAATTTTGATCGTTTTACATTATTATTTTATTTTTTTGTTCAGGTTTTCTCAGTAGAAGTGTCTGGTTCCGTAATCGGGGGTCTACGTCTTGGAAATAACCGCAATTTTTTCATATCCTCCGCTCGTAGGTAAGCGTAATTCTTTTGCTCGTATATTTTTTCGATGTCTTCTTTCTTTACCACTGAAGGAAGCAACAGGGAAAAGTATTCCAATGTATTTTTATAAATACTCATATACATAAATACTCATATTATATATACTCATATATACTCATATAAATACTCATATACAATACAGTACAATGATCATTGTTAGAAATAATTTAAGGACGTTTAAGGCTAGTTTCATACAATTAGATATCATAGTTATAATAACAATATGTAACTCAAATTATACCAAAAATTAATATTTAAGGAAACAAGTTATTTTTAATACTCTGATATTCCATTTCTGAGTATGGAATATTTTCTAAATTATTTTTAATATTCACATGATATGAAACGAACAAATAATACAAATTTTTGTCAAATAAATATGTGATAATTGAAACACTCACATAGTAACTCTTTCTTTCTCAGTGTACGAATGCTCACATCGTTAGTTTCGGTTCCCTCTTTTTCGACCTGCGGCTTTTGGACTAATTTGGCCCTGCCTGTAGGAATGAAATATTTAATTATCGGTTCCATTGCTTAAATTTTTTGAAAGAAAAATTTACTGCTCTTCGTACGTCGCTTAGAAATGCCTGTATTGGATCCCGAAGGAAAATTAATATCCGGTTGAATAGTCTCGATGTGCTCCTCGGGACTTTTGTTCTTCCTGCCAATCTTCTTCGAATCTTCTGTTCCTCCGATCTCGTTTTCTGCCTCTGCAGTTTCAACCGAGGACGTTGCATCGTTATTACTCGATGGATTCGATAGACTTAGCGAGTCCACCGAGGTCGACGGATTTCCATTCGTTGGATTGTGCGTGTTCGAATATTCTGTTGGAAAAATTCGACACTTTTATAGGAACCGAAACGAATCCTCGCCATAATTTACAGTTTCGAGCGGAACTGTGGTTTTGCTCGATTTACGTGTACATTTTAAATGGATTTGTCCGGCTATTCGTGAGCCGGGTTCTTGCAGCCGATATTATCTAAGCCTGCCGAGTGTAAAATCACCGGTCGAACGTTTTACGGTGTGCGTAAAGTTGATGATCAATGATTACACGGATGATAACGATAAGGGTGTAATTTTCGACTTTAAGGCAGTTGAAATGTCGGGCAGGGCATTGGATCGATCCTCTCGGGTAGAAATCCGCGCAGGGCACGTCCAGAAGCCCTGGGGAAATATTAACTGCAATCAACAAGTATAAATATTCCTCGTAATGCACTTAACCCTGCGATTTTATTATTTGTGGATTTAACGGAGAACGTGTGTTTAGCCAACCGCCTCTTTACAAAGTAATTGTTTACAGAGCCGGACAGCCACCCCGTAGACTTGCTCATAGGTAGCGAAAAAGTGAAGAAAATCCTAACGATTATTGGCTGGCCAGGTATACTCCGTGATTCCATCTCTCTGCTGGCTTTATCGTTTCTCAGGGAAAAAAGAATCAAGGGATCCGTTGAAAGAGTCGATCCACTATGTAGCACTTTATTCCGTCGAATCGTTATTTAGCGATGAACTCCATCGTCCACGTTCATTAATCGTTCATCGCCAGCGTTTGTTAGCCCCCAATCACGGGATGCTCAGCGCTAATGCAACGCAAATACCGCGACCGGCCAGCTAATTACGATCGGGCCCAGTCCACGATCATTTACGCCAGGTCGCCGCAAGAAATCGCGTAATAATCGGTTACACCGGCCCGGACACGGGAACTCTGGTATTAACCGTTCCGCGTATCACTATGCGGCTAATTATCGCGATCTGCCCGAGTATCAGCTCCTCTGTCCGTTCACTTTGTATCACAACTTTATTACCCGCAAGACCGCTTCCTCGAGCATCGTGATCGCGAACAGGAACAAAAGGAGGCCCGTCATGAGCGAACGAAGCCCCGATCCGTGGGCAACACTCACCAGGAAGTCGCGATGGTTCTTCGTCACGAGTCTGTCGGTAGTATCTTCGAGATGCATCGTTGTTCCATCGTTGGATGTTTTCTTCTGGCCGTGGAAGAGTCTCTGGCCAGTCGCAGGCTCCTATTTCTGATTTCACGGCGTGTCTTGGTCAGCTAGGTATTAGCTGTCGATCCAGCAGAGGTATTTACAGCGTGCAGCTGTCTTCTGATAGGTCTGGTGTCACTTAAAGTGTCCAAGATTACACAAAATGATCGGTTCGTGGTCAACGTAAAGGAAACATTGTGGATTTGCACCAACTTTTGGTTTAATAACGTTTATTCGTGGTTTCAGTGTATCATGAACAATATTGGACACTAGGTACAGGTTAGAGTCGGGACAATATGTTTACCAGGTATTACAAACATCTTGGACACGAGGAAGTTTTATTCACAATAGCAATTAACGTTGGACTCCACGAAAACCCAATCTTCTCAACGAATTTGATGTTTCATTTCATTCCCCAGTAGTTGTTTTCAGTATAGGATCTTGAAATTGACAGGGTCAGTTGTTTGGTACTTTTGAGAAACTATTTAATGATGAACGTCATCCGGTGTTTCTCGAATATGAGAATTCAGTGACATCTTTCGGACCGGTTGTTGAATTTCGACTCGTCTGCCAGGGGTCGGGCTGTTGATCGGTGTGTCCAAGATGTCCCCCTGTTCTAGGTCTTTTATGGGGCCAAGGTGAATCTCGCGGCTCATACGCCATTTGTTGAAGTGTTCCTTGCTGTACGGGTAAGGATCACCTGGCACCTTTATGTAATTGCTGTCAATGATGTATTCGCTAGAATCCAAAGCTTGTCCTGCTTGTCCGGCGAATAGTTTTCTGTCCTCGTCGATTCGTGGCTGTTCCTCCCCTGCCAAGGATTGTTCCTGGTTCTGATCGGAGGATACTTTCTCTGCAAGGAATAATTTTTGCTTTAAGAGAATGGTTTTATTATTTATAAATATCAGAGCATGGAACATTTCTGTAC